ATCGGAATCGGCCAAGAACATTTTTGGAAACATGATTTTAATAGTGAAAGCACATCAGATGTCCTCACAAATCAGTTTTTGTCATATTTGCTTTTGACATTAGAACCTCAAAAGTAGCAAAACCCATATACATCTTGTGTCTTTGAAAAAAATGTTTCAGAAATATGTTTGCACATAAAGAACCTAGATTTAAGAGCTGTGTGTGTGTTTTCTGACCTGCCAGTGCAGTATGACGCTCCAGATGAGTCCTAGAGTGAGCTTATGATTACCATCGACAATATCAGTCCCGCCGATATTCACCAGATCCACCTGAAAAATAAATTAATTAATAAATAAACAAAATGTAAAAAACAAGACAAATATTAAAAAAAAATATATATACTACAAAGATATATATTTTAAAATATATTTAAAAAAAACACAAATAAAGAACAAATGTATTTAAGCTCAAATAATCTAAAGCAATTCTTTAAAAAAAAAAAGGATTAATTAATAAATGTTTCTGGTTTACTGTGTATAAATAAATAAATAAAAATAAAAGAATAATTACAAATTCTCTTACACTAAAATACACTTTACAGGAAGGTTCCATTTCTTAACATTACTTTTAAGTACACTAATTAACATGAACTAACAATAAAAATAATTATTTATTAATATCAGTTAATTTCAACATTTAATAACATATTATTAAAATTAAAATTTACATCTGTTAATATTATTAAATGGACCTGAGGTAACGTGAACTAACAATAAACCATTGTATTTGTATTGCCCAACATTAACAAAGACACAATTTAGTTTCTTTGTTCAGTAACAAAGATACTGAATTGCTCATTGCTATGATGGGACTTTACTGTAAAGTATTACCAAAACTTATTTTCATAATCTTTCAAATTGTATGTAATAACACTCTCCACCTCTGAATGACTTTTTGACTAATATAACCACAGTTAAAAATAGATCTGAGTCTGACCTACATTATTTCCAACTAAACTCAAAAATATGTTACATTACAAAGTAAACGTTTCATACTGTATCACGTCTTGAATGCCGTTGCGTGCTTTCATATGGAATATATAAACGCACAGTTGTTTCTAACCTGCTATCACTGACTCAGAGAAAAGCGGGCATTGAGAGAGGATTACGGGCCGCTGGTGTGATGTGTGTGATTCTGTGTAAACATGCCTATCTGACAGTGTGTCTACAGGTGTAGATTAACCAAACCTACACTTACCATTCAAGCGTTCGACTTAAGCCGTCATGTTTGCTTAGAGAGTCAACCTCAAACATTCCTCTATCACTGCGTTTAGAGAGCCAGCTCAACCTCAACATAATCAGAGTGTAATATTCAAAGAACGTAATCCATCAACATCAGCGTCACTAAATATGTGGCTGCATTTATGAGAGATTACTGGAGGATCAGCAAACATCTGGACCAGGAGCGCTTTCATCGGTCAAGAGATTAAAACACAGGAAACTGTGCTGTGTGAATATTCACCGCTCAGCTAATTACAGGGTAATGATAGACACTTATATCAGCCAGGACAATTAATCATCCAACGTTAGGTCATTTTTTAAACGTTCAGTGTTTGCAATGCCTGTTGGTGCTTTTCCTTTATATATATTTGTTGTAGGGCTGTGAAACACAATTTCTGTGATTATTTATTTATTGTTTGTTTGACACATTATTTTTATTGTGAAAATTTGTGGACAAAAAATTAACTAACAGCTGAGAGAGCTGATATACTGACAGAGACAGAAACACCACTATAATAAATGCACAGCAAAATGTGACATTATAATGGGTTTATATGAATATTGTTCAGTTAAATAAAAAATAAAAAATGAAATGATAAAATACAAATTTTTAATAAATTTAAAATAAAATAAAACTAATTTAAGATAAAAACAAATAAAACTAAACTAAACTAAATTAAATTAAATTAAATTAAATTAAATTAAATTAAATTAAATTAAGTCCACAAAAGACAATGACCTGGAACATGAGTGAACATGCAAAATGTGACAGGAAAAACACATTGTTTATAGCATCTGTGTTTGTGGCTCTGTTTGGTCTGTCTGACTCCAGGCCATCAAAGCATAAATACAGAGGACATGTCGAAATGTAGAGACCTTGCCGTCAAAACTCCACGCTAATGTCCCTAAAAGACACACAGGAACTGTAAAGCGTTTTAATTAGGCTGCCCTTGCTGTACGTTCCCTAGGCAGCGTCTGTCAGCTGATATGAGGCAAGAAATAAAAATAATTTTCTCCCGCAGCTGAAGCCCAGAGAGTCACCCAGCAGCAAGGACACATGGGAAGGTAGAGAGAGACTTACGCTGCTCTGATGAAGGACCTGCAGCACGCGGTTGACGTTGTTGAGGGAGTGAACTCTAGTAGAGCCTCGCTCTTTGGTCTGAGAGACAGAGAAAGAGAGTTACGCCATACAATCATGTTCACCAATGTACAGTACAAAACAGTGCTAGAGTATTACTGTGTTTCTGAACATGCACCATGATAGTACCATGTTTTCTTTGAAATGCCTTGGAATAGTGTTGAGCAAAATAAATTACCATTTAAAAGTTTGGGGTTGATATGATTTTTTTTTTTTTACATTTTCTAAAGAAATCTTACTAAGGCTGCAGTAATTTGATTAAAAAATCAGTAATATTGTGAAATATTATTACAATTTGAAATGTATATATTAAAACTGAATATACTATAAAATGTAATTTATTTCTGTGATCAAAGCTGAATTTTCAGCATCATTACTCCAGTCTTCAGTGTCACATGATCCTTCAGAAATCATAATAATATGCTGATTTGCTGCTCAAGAAACATTTATGATTATTATAAATGATAAAAACATTTGTGCTGTTTTGTCCTCATTTTTAGGTTTTTTTTCATGAATAGAAAGAAAAGCATTTATTAGGAAAATAAATATTTTATAACTTTATAAATGTCTTTACTTTTGGTCAATTTAACGCATCCTTGTTAAATAAAAATATTATTTTCTCTCCAAAAATAAATAAACAAAACAAAACAGAAAAACAAAAAACAAAGCAAAGCAAAACAAACCAAACAAAACAAAACAAAGCAAAGCAAAGCAAAACAAAACAAAAAACAAAGCAAAGCAAAGAAAAGCAAAGCAAAGCAAAACAAAACAAAAAACAAAACAAAGCAAAAACAAAACACAAAGCAAAAACAAAACACAAAGCAAAAAAAAAAAAAAAAAAAATGCACTAAC